TTCTTCATGCCACAGTAGATCCTCACATCTAAACAATTCCCTCATTGGACTGCAGCTGCCAATGAACACAACATAAACTGGTGGATCGCTTTCAAGATTCTTTAAGCCATTTCTCACCAAAAGGTCAGCAACAACTAGGTTAATTTGTAACCTAATAACATCCTCAAAAGTTCTGTTCTCTACTCCTGATCCACATGGATCCCTAGCAACGATCAAGTCTAAATCATCGTATTCGTCAAACCTTGGCATTGGGATTTCCGGGCAAGGTTGTGAATCCCTTGGTAAACTTTCTTCAATCCAAAGCGGAAACAAGTCACTCCATTGTATGTTCTTTGCAACGCGTTTAAAATGTATGTCTACCGTCTCTGCATCTTCATATATCGTGCTTTCATTGTAATAGTCATTTGTATGAACTATACCGATTTTCATCCTTTGGTTATTTAACTTTTTTGCCACAAATTCGTACCATCTAGGTTTTGTGATATGTCTAGGAAAGGTCATATGTTGAGATTCGATTTGGAATTGAGTAACACAAGTCTCTTGAAGTTTTTCATGGTATATTATGGTGAGAAAAATGAGGGTTAGAGAGAATAAGATGAGAAAAATATTGAAGGCTTTTGTTGTTGAAGGTGGCGGTTTGTAGGACATTTTAAGTTTCATGATTAATCTTCCACCCTATCAAAGGTTTTTGGACAATATATTTATACACAAAACCAATGTACAAATGTGTATTTTCTCAACTTTAGAAATTTTATGAAGACATTATGCACTTTCCCAAAATTGTATAACCACAAAGGTGGTAATAAATGCCCACATCATTTCTTGTGTAGAAAGAAAATATGTGCATGTAGTAAGGTTGTGAATAAGAATAACGTACGAGATAATCATCTTAGTTAGTAAAAGATACATGTTGTTTTAGGCATATTGTATATTTAGTACCCAATATTAATAGAAATAATTGAAAAATCAACAAGATTTGATTCCTCTCTTTAACATTGTCCATTATTGTCGTATCTTCTTTATCAAGTATATCATTAAGGTCGAGCAAGGTCTTTTGAGTAAGTAATTTTTAATGAAACCCGAATCCAAAGTTCAGTTACAAGGGACATTATCCAGGCCGAACACAGAAGCTACAACATGAACAAGAGGACATGAGATCTCCTATGTCCGTTAGGTGATCTCTTGATTGTACCTCCATAAACATTTTAACACGAAGAAAACTTTAAAATTATAGACGTCGAATATTGTAAATGAGAAATGCTGAAGATACAATTCGACATCCTGAAATCAATGTACTTATAAGCATTATGTTTAAAAATACACTAATGAAAGTATCTTGTTTCAGAGCAATGACATGAAATTTTTGTCAATCATCATGGAAGATGAGATTAGAGCACAACAGTCAAACCGTTTAGAGGATGTCATCCGGGAGTC